ATAATGCTGATAATTCTAGCAACATTAGTATAATTTGCAATACTAGTAGATTATTTTTTTTCATAATGAGAAATGAGCGCGGAAACGGTAACCTTGGAGTTAATTTTAAGCAAAACGGATATCGATAAAGCGGAACGTGAGAGCCTTCCGAAAGGAATTAGGCGGTTTACATTCGGTAGGGATTTCCCCGTCCTTCAACGATTTGTGAACGTCTGTCGCCGGTCTGAACCCCGCGACCGCGCGAGTTCGCAGCCTCAAGCCAGTTCATCAGTGTTTCTCATTCGCGGAATTCGCGGAATATTGATTTTTTTTTTATATATTTCTTTGACACCCTTTTATTTTATTAATTTCGTTAAACTTACTTTAAATTATTTCTGCATCAGTACATTACTGCTTGTGTCGCGCGTTGTAATTGGGCATTTTATTTACCCAAACTTACACCCCTTTTGCGCAAAGTAAGTAGAGATTGGCAGACACGCGATATCCATTTTTTTATTCATAAATAACTCGTAACTTTTTGATAAAGTCGAGTTAATTAATACGCACGTTACGATCGTTGAGCACCCTCTCGCAACCGTGAGGCAAGTAGTAGCTCGTGCCGGGACCGGGGTTACGGGACCAGGTGCTCACCTGCTCCTTGTTGGGTGGCTGGTTAGGCTTGGCGCCCTCTTATATTCATGCTCTCGGCAGAAGCACTGGTTCGCAATGCGCATGAACCACGGCTGGCCACGTTGAGGATGCTTACGGTACTTGGCACTGTTGAGATATCGATACTCGGATATCTTTCCGATTAATATCGATACATGGAAAACCAGGAGATTAAATGTAAATATTTATATATTTGAATTTTTTTATATATTAATTTATTTTTTTATATTTGTATATTAGAATCTTGTTAAATAACTGTAATGTGATTTTTTTCAATTTGTCGTTGGGCCAGAATTTTAATTGAACTCGTCTACTAGTAAGAATAATAAAAATATTCATAAGATAAGAAGATAGCGCTAATTATCCGCGGCACGAATAAACATATACACATGTCTGATGAAGTTACATTTACATATTTAAACACATCCAATGTGCACCGATACTGACCTACCCTCGTTAGACATCAACACATCGAGAGACCGTTAAGAATACAGCTGTCTCGCAAGAGGCTAGGGTCCCTGTTTCTGACTCCCTTTAACGCTACCTTTAAGCTAAACGTAAAGGTGACTGACCGATTCCATATCTTATTCCTTTAATGCCATAATTCGATGATGCGATGAAATGAAAAACCGAACAACATCCATATAACATCTATAAGAGATGAAAGAGTTTACGATTATATAAATTTACCTCTCGCCAAGAATACAGAACACGAGGCAAATAATTCAATTACTCATGCCCGCGATACTGAACTCGACATTTAGATGCTTCTTTTGATCTTTCTAATGTAATGATTTGTGATTCGTTAGTTTTGCTTATAATTTCTTATTATTTATTAACTTATTTTCCAACGTTGAAAATTAAGCGAGAACAAGCTTAACCGTTTAATCGCTTTTCAAAGCTATTAAATCGCTATTTTAAAATAAAGGTATTGATTGAAATAACATTCTATCATTAAATGACAATAGAGTAAACATGTAAACTTTTACGGAATACACAATACTATCCTTTTTTCTCTATTTGATATACAAAGTATGGACTCGTGCTAAATTGGAATCCTTGTCATCGCGAATTAAGTTTGCATTTAGAAAGAATGTAGGAAATGTGTCTCTGAAATGAAAGAAATACACACACACACACACACACACACACACACACACACACAATTTGTATCGAAAGATCAAATACACCAGAATTTATTATTTTGTTACTCTAAGATAAGACAAAAGATTTTATAATAAATATTGTAACTATAAATAAATATACAACAGTTTTTATGAACAATCATTATATTTTGAATATTGCATCGTCGCGTCTGAAAACATTGGGCACAGCCCAATAAATGAGGATTTTCTTAAAACATTTTTACATTAAAATTTTTTTAGATAAATATATGCTTCACAGAAGTCACAATATTATGCAGAAAACGTAGGAAACAGTTACATTATAATATCCCATCGCGATCTAAATTCTGATTTAATACATAGGATTTATTACTTGCATGTATTTGATACTAAAATACTTCACAGGCAATGTAATATATAAATGGAATAAAATTCAATGTTTTTTGCTCATTCTAAAGTGTCAAAAATAAGCAAATAGCTTAATAAGTATGTTAAACATGAAGTTCTACAACGTATCATTTATAACAAAAGAATTTGTTGCTTATGTATTGATATCAAAATATTCTACAGGACAAAGTACCTTTACTGTGATATAATAAAATCTGATTTTATTGCTCATTCTAGTCGGAAATAAATAATTTGTTTTACGATCGTGTGCGCGAACTTAATATGGATGCTATATCATATACAGCATATACAGAGAATAATTTAGATGAAGTAATCGATATAAACGTGCGCGTAGTATTCTACATCTTAAATTAAAGATTTAGGCAAAAAGAGATACCGCAAAGATACCGAGAGATATCGCGCGAACTGTAATCGGTATTAAAAGGGCGAAAACGCAGCGTTGGCGTTGGCGTTGGCAGCCGATCGCGATCTTTCCGCATCACCCGACGACGTTATCGTTGCCGTTGCAAATGCCGTCGTGCAATGGTATAGAAGTATCGTGCCACCACATGGCGCGTCCCGTTCTCGTCCGTTGCCTTGAAAGTCCGTTGTACGAGGGGTACAACGATGGCAAACCGGGACGAACCGGGAACGGGGCACCCCTATACATACCGGCTCTAGTATTGAACGCGCTATATCCGAGACGCGTGTTCGCCCGATAGCACACGCACACCATCGCCAGACACCGTCGATACGTCATCATACACGCCGCACACACGCACGAAACATGTCGCTCACGTGCAAATTAGGTAATTACTTGTGGACGCGCGTCTTCAAGTCGACAAGCATGCTTTCCAGCTCAAAGACTAGGACGATTCGGACCGTCGGCTAAGCCGGCGATAATCGGGATAATGATCAGCGTGTACCCTTTGCTTAGGGGAGAGAAGTTTAATTATCTCGCTTTTTAATTCAGCGAACGTTGTTTTTTTTTCCCCCCCCCCCCCCCTCATAGCATTGCTGTTCGAAGCAATCTTAGGATTAATAATTCAGGATGGAATTAGCATTGTGAATTGAATAGAGTATCAAAGTATTGCTAAAATATAACGTATAAAATAAAATGAATAAATCGATACAACATTCTGTAAATCATAGCAACATTGTTACATGATCTTTTGTTATTAACGCGTATCGGAAATCGAACCGTGTTCCCATATCGCGTACAGAACGGTTAATGGGGGAGATTGAAAAAACGCGATGGCGACCGTCGGCGCAGATGAGCGAATTGAACACTGCGAGAGGTGCTTCTTTGACCAATGGCTTTTCTATCAAGATTTAATATTTAAATGACGAAGTTTTATGCCGAGGCAAGGCTAAAGGTGCGGAAGGAAAGGAGGAAAGACCGCCAAGAGAAGAATGGAAGGGAGAGAAGAATGAAAGAGGTTTGAGTTTCTCGGGGTCCTCGGGGTCCCAGGCTATTAACATATCCTGTAGGGCCGGTAAGGCAGGTCTCGCGATATTTCGGAGAAGGCGAAGGTTGGCACTTTCGCAACCTTTAACGGTCGCGGGTCCGAATTACAAATCGCGAGATACGGATTCTCGACGTGAATCGCGTCGTGGAAATGCCGTTGCGAAAAACTGAAAAACACGAAAAGTCGAGAGCTCGTTTGATTGTACAACTATCCTGGTATAGATCGCGCGAAATGCATCGAGTCTTATCGTTTCAATTTTTGATATTCATTCTTTCGTCCCACCAATCTGCGATGAAGGGATCAATTAGTGAAGATCGCGATTATAATTAAGCGATAAAATGCGTATAATGATGACGATTGGTGCGCGCGCGGAACCATCCTATCCTCGAGAATGGTTACCACCCGAGGATTTCAGTTTTCCCTCTTCGCGGTTGCACCCGAAGGAGCACCTTGGCGGATCCGTTGGATGAAAAATTCGTTGAGCGCGTGCCGGCTGCACGCACGACTCGACTACCCCTCGTCTTACTACCCTCGCGGCCTACCCTTGCTAATGTCGAAAGATGGAAGAAGAATCGAGCGAGATAGAGAGAGGAACGAGCTTAGTTATCGAACAGGCCGAACGACCGACCGACCGACCGACCGACCGACCAATCAACCAACCAACCAACCAACCAACCAACCAACCAACCAACCAACCAACCAACCAACCCCCCGTTAGGCACTCTCTTGTCGCTTGTTTCCTTACCTCGGTCTCTCTTGTGTCTCGTCCCGATGTCTGGTCCCGATGCGTCTGGTCCCCGTCCCGTTTCGCAACTCGTAACGGGGCACACGCTTCAACTTTTATTCCCACCGACGACATTCTGTTCTCGCAGACTGTTATTCAACATCTATCCGCTTTCCTGTTTGCGTATCGCATTTGCGAACATGATGATCGGTACCGGCGTAACT